AAAGCGTGGGACTATACATGGGCATCTATCTTGGCTGATACTTATCTTCAATATACCAGGGAGGAAGGAGGAGCAGCTGACAGCTTCAAGAAGTCCCAAAAGTTTAGAAAATATGGCCCTATAGGCTCGGAATCCCATGGCTCAGTGTGAAAGAGTGCAACTAGATTCCTTTAGGAGCTACGCAAAAGACTCATTAGGGTAACTAGTGAACCCAGCACAACTAGTTTTCTATTCCAGCGACTCAGTGCTGCTGTTCAGAAGGGTAATGCCTGCTGTATTTTGGGCACGCACCCCAGCTCTGAGGAGCTGGATGAGATTTTCGCATTAAAATCAGTGAAACAAGTAACAATATGTACTAGATATGTATCTCTCACACCTCATGTACTGTATATGCCATCTTTATACCAATAATGTATCTCTTAAATCTTTTGTAATAAAATATACCTATTGGTAAATAAGAATGAAAAGATGGAGTGGTAGGGGAGGTGGAATATTCAAATGGTCTCATGAAGAAATCCAAATATCCCACCGAGGCAGCATGATATAGAAAGAAAAACGAAAGATTCTCTTTGTAAACTTAGTAATGTATACTGGTCAAGAGGTTCCTAGCCCCTTGCTCCCATATATATATATATATATATATATATATATATATATATATTATATATATATATATATATATATATATATATTTTATATATATATATGCAATAGATCAAAATAAACAAGTAGACAATTGATAAGACAATAGGCAGAACAACCTCTGTGTAAAATATAGAATCTTTGTGCATGTGTGTGTGTGTGTGTTTGTGTGTGTGTGTGTGTGTGTGTGTGTGTGTGTGTGTGTGTGGGTGTGGGTGTGTGTGTGTGTATGTGTGTGTGTGTGTGTGTGTGTGTGTGTGTGTGTGTGTGGGTGTGTGTGTGGGTGTGGGTGTGTGTGTGTGTGTGTGTGTGTTTGCTCACCTATTTGTACTCACCTATTTGTGGTTGCAGGGGTCGATTCACAGCTCCTGGCCCCGCTTCTTCGCTGATTGCTACTAGGTCCTCTCTCTCCCTGCCCCATGAGCTCTATCATACCTCGCCTTAAAACTATGTATGGTTCCCGCCTCCACTACGTCACTTTCTAGGCTATTCCACGGCCTGACTACTCTATGACTGAAGAAATACTTCCTAACATCCCTTTGATTCATCTGAGTCTTCAACTTCCAATTGTGACCTCTTGTGTCTGTGTCCCTTCTCTGGAACATCCCATCTTTGTCCACCTTGTCTATTCCGCGCAGTATTTTATATGTCGTTATCATGTCTCCCGTGACCCTCCTGTCCTCCAGTGTCGTCAGGCCGATTTCCCTCAACCTTTCTTCGTAGGACAATCCCCGTAGCTCTGGGACTAGTCTTGTTGCAAACCTTTGCACTTTCTCTAATTTCTTGGCTTGCTTGACTAGGTGTGGATTCCAAACTGGTGCTGCATACTCCAGTATGGGCCTGACGTAAATGGTATACAGAGTCTTAAACGAATCCTTACTGAGGTATCGGAACGCTATCCGTAGGTTTGCCAGGCGCCCGTATGCTGCAGCAGTTATCTGATTGATGTGCGCCTCAGGAGATATGCTCGGTGTTATGCTCACCCTCAGATCTTTTTCCTTGAGTGAGGTTTGCAGTCTTTGGCCATCTAAACTATATTGTGTCTGCGGTCTTCTTTGTCCTTCCCCAATCTTCATGACTTTGCATTTGGCAGGGTTAAATTCAAGGAGCCAGTTGCTGGACCAGGCTTGTAGCCTGTCCAGGTCTCTTTGTAGTCCTGCCTGATCCTCGTCCGATTTGATTCTTCTCATTAACTTCGCATCATCTGCAAACAAGGACACTTCTGAGTCTATCCCTTCCGTTACGTCGTTCACATATACCAAGAACAGCACAGGTCCTAGGACTGACCCCTGTGGAACCCCGCTTGTCACAGGCGCCCACCCTGACACCTCGTCGCACACCATGACACGTTGTTGCCTTCCTGTCAGGTATTCTCTGATCCATTGCAGTGCCTTTCCTGTTATGTGTGCCTGATCCTCTAGCTTTTGCAGTAACCTCTTGTGAGGAACTGTGTTGAAGGCCTTCTTGCAGTCCAAAAAATATGCAGTCGATCCACCCCTCTCTCTCTTGTCTTACTTCTGTCACCTTGTCATAAAACTCTAGTAGGTTTGTGACACAGGATTTTCCTTCCCTGAAACCGTGCTGGTTGTCAGTTATACACTTGTTTGTTTCCAGGTGCCCCACCACTCTCCTCCTGATGATCTTCTCCATGACCTTGCATACTATACACGTTAGTGATACAGGTCTGTAGTTTAGTGCCTCATGTCTGTCTCCCTTTTTAAAAATTGGGACTACATTTGGCATTTTCCATACCTCAGGGAGTTGCCCAGTTTCAAATGATGTGTTGAAGATCTTTGTTAATGGCTCACACAATATCTCTGCTCCCTCTTTAAGGACCCTTGGAGAGATGTTGTCTGGTCCCACCGCCTTTGAGGTGTCAAGTTCGCATAGCAGCTTCTTCACCTCCTCCTTGGTTATATGTACCTCATCCAGCACTTGCTGGTGTGCCCCCTTGTTCTGATTTCCTGGAGTCCTACTGCTTTCCACTGAAAATACCTCTTTAAATCTTGTGTTGAGCTCCTGACATACCTCTTTAAATCTTGTGTTGAGCTCCTGACATACCTCTTGGTCGTTTCTTGTGAATTCCCCATCACCCTTCCTCAGTCTGATTACCTGTTCCTTGACTGTTGTTTTCCTCCTGATGTGGCTGTACAACAGCTTCGGGTCAGTCTTTGCTTTTGATGCTATGTCATTTTCATATTGTCTCTGAGCCTCCCTTCTTATCTGTGCATATTCGTTTCTGGCTCTTCGGCTGATTTCTTTATTTTTCTGAGTTCTCTGTCTTCTGTACCTTTTCCATTCTCTAGTACACCTAGTTTTTGCCTCCCTACACCTTTGGGTGAACCAAGGACTCGTTCTGTTCTTCCCATTATTTCTGTTTCCCTTGGGAACAAACCTCTACTCTGCCTCGTTGCATTTTTGTGTGTGTGTGTGTGTGTGTGTGTGTGTGTGTGTGTGTGTGTGTTGTGTGTGTGTGTGGTGTGTGTGTGTGTGTGTGGTGTGTGTGTGTGTGGTTGTGTGTGTGTGTGTGTGTCTGTGTGTGTGTGTGTGTGTGTGTGTGTGTGTGTGTGTGTGTGTGTGTGTGTGTGTGTGTGTGTGTGTGTGTGTGTGTGTGTGTGTGTGTGTTTGTGTGTGTATGTGTGTGTGTGTACTCACCTATTTGTACTCACCTATTTGTGGTTGCAGGGGTCGAGTCTTGGCTCCTGGCCCCGCCTCTTCACCGGTTGCTACTAGGCCCTCTCTCTCCCCACTCCATGAGCTTTATCAAACCTCGTCTTAAAACTTTGTATGGTTCCTGCCTCCACTACGTCATTTTCTAGGCTATTCCACTGCCTTACAACTCTATGACTGAAGAAATACTTCCTACTGTCTCTCTGACTCATTTGTGTCTTCAACTTCCAATTGTGGCCTCTTGTTTCTGTGTCCCCTCCCTGGAACATCCTGTCTTTGTCCACCTTGTCTATTCCACGCAGTATTTTATATGTCGTTATCATGTCTCCCCTGACCCTCCTGTCCTCCAGTGTCGTCAGGCCGATTTCCCTTAATCTTTCTTCATAGGACATTCCCCTTAGCTCTGGAACTAACCTTGTCGCAAACCTTTGTACTTTCTCTAGTTTCTTGACGTGCTTTATCAAGTGCGGGTTCCAAACAGGTGCTGCATACTCCAGTATGGGCCTGACATACACGGTGTACAGTGTCTTGAATGATTCCTTACTAAGGTATCGGAATGCTGTTCTCAGGTTTGCCAGGCGCCCATATGCTGCAGCAGTTATCTGATTGATGTGTGCTTCCGGAGACATGCTCGGTGTTATACTCACCACAAGATCTTTCTCCTTGAGTGAGGTTTGCAGTCTTTGGCCACCTAGCCTATACTCTGTCTGTGGTCTTCTGTGCCCTTCCCCTATCTTCATGACTTTGCATTTGGCAGGATTAAATTCGAGAAGCCATTTGCTGGACCAGGTGTCCAGTCTGTCCAGGTCTCTTTGAAGTCCTGCCTGGTCCTCATCAGATTTAATTCTCCTCATTAACTTCACATCATCTGCAAACAGGGACACTTGTGTGTGTGTGTGTGTGTGTGTGTGTGTGTGTGTGTGTGTGTGTGTGTGTGTGTGTGTGTGTGTGTGTGTGTGTGTGTGTGTGAGTGTGTGTTAGTATTTTAATCTGAAATTTTTGAAGCAAATTTAAATTTACGGTTCCTCAGCTTAACGTAAGCTGCCAAGTGGCTTACGAAATGCAGATACATGCTGCTGGCTTTGTATTTTATAATATTTTATTACATGGAAAACTACATTTTTATACTGCACAAAGAAATAAAATTGGTTTGTTTATTTGTAAGTGTTAAAACAAATTAGATGGACACTCTGGTGGCTCTGGTGGCCTGGTGGTTAACACTCTCGCTTCACACAGTGAGGGCCTGGGTTCGATTCCCAGCCAGAGTAGAAACATTGGACGTGTTTCTTTCCACCTGTTGTCTATGTTCCCCATCAGTAAAATGGGTACCTGGGTGTTAGTCGACTGGTGTGGGTTGCATCCTGGGACACTGACCTAAGGAGGCCTGGTCACAGACCGGGCCGCGGGGGCGTTGACCCCCGGAACTCTCTCCAGGTAAACTCCAGGTAAACACTCCTCATCCGCTGGGTCTATGGTAGCAACTCTGTATGATAACACAGCTTGGTGAATTGGTCATTGAGCCTTGTCTGAAGGCCTAGTCCGCAGAATCTACATTAGCAACATTCCAGGGCGATGTAAGAAATACAGTGCTAAGCAAATCTCTAGTAAAGACGATATATTGCTCCGGGCAGCTTTATCAAGACTTTCAGAATTATATTATATATTTATGTGTGTAGTATACATGGTACCTGGGTAACGTGGGCGTTCATAGCGACGTGAAGGTTAGGACGAGCAGCTGCGGGCCTAATGTATGCCTCGGCCGTGGAGCCTCTGCGACCGTCACGCTGCGTCAGGTCCGGAATGGAGAAGCCTGGCGGGAAGACAAGCCAATTACGGAGCGAGTTATCAACTTTATGCAGCCTTCATGAACCGGTATCTGGTCATAGCTACGTAAAACTTTTTTCGCTATTTCAGAATGTCCTACAGCTGTGCAAGTGAGGCGTGCAGGAGTGAAGGTCAACTGCTTCCATAATTTTTGATCATAATCTGTCGTCATGCTTTGGCTATATAATTAGCAGCTCTCAGGTTTGTCTAGGTCCCGCTTCCTCAGTTTCCTGGTCGAGTCTAACTCAGTTATTAGATCTTTCTAGTTCAGTTTTCAATTCTTTCTGGTTTAGTTTTCAGGTTTTTTCTAGTTCGGTTTTCAATCCTTTCTAGTTCAGTTTTCAGGTCTTTCTAGTTCACTTTTCAGGTCTTTCTAGTTATGTTTTCAGGTATTTCTAGTCCAGTTTACAGGTCTTTCTAATTCAGTTTTCAAGTCTTTCTAGTTCAGTTTTCAGGTCTTTCTAGTTCAGTTTTCAGGTCTTTCTAGTTCAGTTTTCAGGTCTTTCTAGTTATGTTTTCAGGTCTTTCTAGTCCAGTTTTCAGGTCTTTCTAGCCAAGTTTTCAGGTCTATCTAGATATGTTTTTAGGTCTTTCTGGTCCAGTTTTCAGGTCTTTCTAGTCCAGTTTTCAGGTCTTTCTAGTTCAGTTTTCAGGTCTTTCTAGTTATGTTTTCAGGTCTTTCTAGTTCAGTTTTCAGTCTTTCTAGTCCAGTTTTCAGGTCTTTTTACTTATGTTTTTAGGTCTTTCTAGTCCAGTTTTCAGGTCTTTCTAGACCAGTTTTCAGGTCTTTCTAGTTCAGCTTGCAGGTCTTTCTAGTTCAGTTTTCAGGTCTTTCTAGTTCAGTTTTCAGGTCTTTCTGGCTCAATTTTTCAGATCTTTCTAGTTATGTTTTCAGGTCTTTCTAGTTCAGTTTTCAGGTCTTAATAGTTCAGTTTTTCAGGTCTTTCTAGTTCAGTTTTCAGGTCTTTCTAGTTATGTTTTCAGGTCTTTCTAGTTCAGTTTTCAGGTCTTTCTGGTTTAGTTTTCAGGATTTTCCAGTTCGGTTTTCAATCCTTTCTAGTTCAGTTTTCAGGTCTTTCTAGTTCACTTTTCAGGTCTTTCTAGTTATGTTTTCAGGTCTTTCTAGTCCAGTTTACAGGTCTTTCTAATTCAGTTTTCAGGTCTTTCAAGTTCAGTTTTCAGGTCTTTCTAGTTCAGTTTTCAGGTCTTTCTAGTTATGTTTTCAGGTCTTTCTAGTCCAGTTTTCAGGTCTTTCTAGCCTAGTTTTTAGGTCTATCTAGTTATGTTTTTAGGTCTTTCTGGTCCAGTTTTCAGGTTTTCCTAGTCCAGTTTTCAGGTCTTTCTAGTTCAGTTTTCAGGTCTTTCTAGTTCAGTTTTCAGGTCTTTCTAGTTCAGTTTTCAGGTCTTTCTAGTTATGTTTTCAGGTCTTTCTAGCCCAGTTTTCAGGTCTTTCTAGCAAGTTTTCAGGTCTATCTAGATATGTTTTTAGGTCTTTCTGGTCCAGTTTTCAGGTCTTTCTAGTCCAGTTTTCAGGTCTTTCTAGTTCAGTTTTCAGGTCTTTCTAGTTATGTTTTCAGGTCTTTCTAGTTCAGTTTTCAGTCTTTCTAGTCCAGTTTTCAGGTCTTTTTAGTTATGTTTTTAGGTCTTTCTAGTCCAGTTTTCAGGTCTTTCTAGTTCAGTTTTCAGGTCTTTCTAGTTCAGCTTTCAGGTCTTTCTAGTTCAGTTTTCAGGTATTTCTAGTTTAGTTTTCAGGTCTTTCTAGTTCAATTTTCAGATCTTTCTAGTTATGTTTTCAGGTCTTTCTAGTTATGTTTTCAGGTCTTAATAGTTCAGTTTTTCAGGTCTTTCTCGTTCAATTTTCAGGTCTTTCTAGTTATGTTTTCAGGTCTTTCTAGTTCAGTTTTCAGGTCTTTCTAGCTATGTTTTCAGGTCTTTCTAGTCCAGTTTTCAGGTCTTAATAGTTCAGTTTTTCAGGTCTTTCTAGTTCAATTTTCAGGTCTTTCTAGTTCAGTTTTCAGGTATTTCTAGTTAGGTTTTCAGGTCTTTCTAGCTCAGTTTTCAGGTTTTTCTGGTTTAGTTTTCAGGATTTTCTAGTTCGGTTTTCAATCCTTTCTAGTTCAGTTTTCAAGTCTTTCTAGTTCACTTTTCAGGTCTTTCTAGTTATGTTTTCAGGTCTTTCTAGTCCACTTTACAGGTCTTTCTAATTCAGTTTTCAGGTCTTTCTAGTTCAGTTTTCAGGTCTTTCTAGTTCAGTTTTCAGGTCTTTCTAGTTATGTTTTCAGGTCTTTCTAGTCCAGTTTTCAGGTCTTTCTAGCCAAGTTTTCAGGTCTATCTAGTTATGTTTTTAGGTCTTTCTGGTCCAGTTTTCAGGTTTTTCTAGTTCAGTTTTCAGGTCTTTCTAGTTATGTTTTCAGGTCTTTCTAGTTCAGTTTTCAGACTTTCTAGTCCAGTTTTCAGGTCTTTTTAGTTATGTTTTTAGATCTTTCTAGTTCAGTTTTCAGGTCTTTCTAGTTCAGCTTTCAGGTCTTTCTAGTTCATTTTTCAGGTATTTCTAGTTTAGTTTTCAGGTCTTTCTAGTTCAATTTTCAGATATTTCTAGTTATGTTTTCAGGTCTTTCTAGTTCAGTTTTCAGGTCTTAATAGTTCAGTTTTTCAGGTCTTTCTAATTCAGTTTTCAGGTCTTTCTAGTTATGTTTTCAGGTCTTTCTAGTTCAGTTTTCAGGTCTTTCTAGTTATGTTTTAAGGTCTTTCTAGTTCAGTTTTCAGGTCTATCTAGTTATGTTTTCAGGTCTTTCTAGTTCAGTTTTCAGGTCTTTCAAGTTATGTTTTCAGGTCTTTCTAGTTCAGTTTTCAGGTCTTTCTAGTTATGTTTTCAGGTCTTTCTAGTTCAGTTTTCAGGTCTTTCTAGTTATGTTTTCAGGTCTTTCTAGTTCAGTTTTCAGGTCTTTCTAGTTCAGTTTTCAGGTCTTTCTAGTTATGTTTTCAGGTCTTTCTAGTTCAGTTTTCAGGTCTTTCTAGTTATGTTTCAGGTCTTTCTAGTTCAGTTTTCAGGTCTTTCTAGTTCAGTTTTAAAGTCTTTCTAGTTCAGTTTTCAGGTCTTTCTAGTTCAGTTTTCAGGTCTTTCTAGTTCGGTTTTCAGGTCTTTCTAGTTCAGTTTTCAGGTCTTTCTAGTTCAGTTTTCAGGTCTTTCTAGTTCAGTTTTCAGGTCTTTCTAGTTCGGTTTTTAGGTCTTTCTAGTTCAGTTTTCAGGTCTTTCTAGTTTGGTTTTCAGGTCTTTCTAGTTCAGTTTTCAGGTCTTTCTAGTTCGGTTTTCAGGCCTTTCTAGTTCAGTTTTCAGGTCTTTCTAGTTCAGTTTTCAAGTCTTTCTAGTTCAGTTTTCAGTTCTTTCTAGTCCAGTTTTCAAGTCTTTCTAGTTCAGTTTTCAGGTCTTTCTAGTTATGTTTTCAGGTTTTTCTAGTCCAATTTTCAGGCCTTTCTAGTTCAGTTTTCAGGTCTTTCTAGTCCAGTTTCAAGGTCTGTCTTGCCCAGTTTCCAAATTTCTCTAGCTCAGTTTACAGGTTTGTCTTGCTCACATTTAGATCTGTCTCTCTCATTTTTAAGGTTATGTCTGTCTCATTTTCCTCGTCCCTCCAGTTCACTTTTTATGTATGTCTATTTGAATTTCAAGATCTCTGAGTTCATTCTTTTACGCTCAGTTATTATGTCTTTTTATCTCAGTTTTCAAGCATCTACGTCTTTTTAATGTTGTTTACATGTCTATATCGCTTTGTAAAAACACCTGTCTAGTACAGTTTTGTTGTCTGTCTACTAACCTTTTTTTCTTGTTTCTTGTTTAAGCTTAACAACTACGTCGGTCAAAGACTGTTTCTGTTGTGTTCAGCTTCCTCCTCTGTTTGACTAAGTTTTCACGTCCGTTTAGTTGAGTATATATATGTCCTGCCGAATAAGCAAATATGTGTATGCAATAATTTCGTAAAAATCATTTGTAAACTTTTCTAAAATATATTTAGTGGGATTAAGTTAAATTAAATTAGGCTTGTTATAATAATGTTAGATAAGTTTTCTTAGGTTCTTTTGGTACAAAATTATTCATTTTTACATTAACATGAATCAAAAAATGTATCTTTAAATGAATAATAATTTTTTTAGAAAGAACTGAATTTTAAATGAGTTCTTGCTAATTGACCAATTTTACCTATTCGGCACGACATGTGTATATATAGTAGTCTCTGAGATGTTATTTATGTTATTCTATTCCCCATTTTGTTGTCAATGTATTTTTTCTATAAATAAAGTTCTCATAGAATATAGTATTTAGGGGGTGGTAGGAGAAGACAATATATATATATATATTATATATATATATATATATATATATATATATTATATATATATATATTTTATATATATATATGCATAAGATCACAGTAAACAGGTGATTTCAAAATATGCAAAACAACCACTCTGAAAGAATAGAGAAATTCCAAGCGCTTTCGTGACTACTCACATTATCAAGGAACTATGAAAGTGAAGCATCCAAGGAAGCTATATAAGGGGTCCGGCCAGCACCTCACTATCAGATCCCACAACGGTTAAACACGTTGGCTCGCCGCGCGTCACGTGTTTAAACCGTTGTGGGATCTGATAGTGAGGTGCTGGCCGACCCCTTATATAGCTTCCTTGGATGCTTCACTTTCATAGTTCTTGATAATGTGAGTAGTCACGAAAGCGCTTGGAATTTCTCTATCCTTTCAGAGTGGTTGTTTTGCATATATATATATATATATATATATTATATATATATATATATATATTATATATATTATATATATATATATATATATATATATATATATATATATAATATATATATATATATATATATATATATATATATATATATATATATATACAGGTGATTTCAGAATATGCAAAACAACCACTCTGAAAGGATAGTGAAATTCCAAGTACTTTCGTGTCTTCTCA